TTCCGTTGATATTTGAGAATATACAGGGTTTGCCCTCATGTTTACGCCAGTTAGGAGGTGGGGTTTTTTTGGGGGCGGTGGTGTGAAGAAAGCAGTGAAGAATTCAGGCTAGGGATGTAAGCGAGTCGAGCCACTATCGAGTAGCTCGCGAGTAGCTTGGTCAACGACTTGGCTTGAATTCGGTCAAATCGAGTTCGAGCCGTGTCTCGAGCTACTCGAATATACTTTCGAGTCAAGTTCAAGTCAGGAATTTGCGGCTTGTGGCTCGACAAGCAAATATATTTAATTAATATATATATAATTTAAATAATATATATGTATTATAATTATAAAATGATTGTTATGGGTATAATTTATACTGAATTTACAAGTGTACATTTTTTGAGTTGAGTCAAAAAGTTTGATTAGACTCGACTTAATAAGGCTTGTCGAGCCTTATCGAGTCGAGTCTTGAGTTTAAAAGAATTTTCTCGAGTCAAGCCTCGAGTTGCGATTTTTAGGGTCGATCGAACTCGAGCCGAGCTCGAGTCTAGTTACATATAGGTCGAGTCGAGCTCGACTTGGCTCGAGTACATCCCTAATTCAGGCTATAACTTGAAAGGGTGCAAGTTGAGCACTCCTGACAATTACCCACAAATAGGGGAAAACCAAAAAAAAAAAATTTAAGGACACGTGGCACAAGCTGTGTTGCTATGTCTAAATACAAATATTTTCCAAGCAATTAAATCTAAATCCAGATTAACAGAGCATTTTGTCACTGGAATGAGACCTGTTTGCAGATATTTTGGTGAATTGAATCGGTTAGAGCGGAAAGAATTGCTACCAGATACCTCAATTGAGAAAATAAAATATAAAGCATATCATTCTTGACTGAGCAAGCCGTTCTACACATTTTCTTAAAGCAGAACAATCATTATTGTAAGAGCACGCAGGACTGGGGTGTCGCAGTGCCATTCACGAAGGTCAAATATTATTTTTCTTTTGCCAAAAGAGGATAAAAAAAAAAATGAGACTCTACCCGCCATTTCTATAGCTCGAATTTGTACAGATGATTTGTCTTACGAAATAAAACTCTATTTCGTCGTCCATGAACGTGCGAAACTTAGCATATTATTTATTAATTATTTTTGTCACTAAGACCTACCCTTTAATCTTTGATCAATTCGAATCTTATATAATTTTTTATTAGTCGGAATCTTAGGCACCCAAGCTTGTTGAAATTCTTTTTTTTTTTTGTCATTTATGAGTAACTTGTTTGAATTTTGATTATGATACCTGGCAATATTAACGTCTAGTAGACATAAGAGATGGAAAATTATAGTCCAGAGGCCTGACGATTCCAGTTCAAACTAGTTCGTGTAATACTTAATACATTTGATATAGTTCGTGTAATACTCATTCAATTAATAAATGACCAACCTTTTTACATAAGTTGACAAATTTAAATTTATGCTCAAATTGTAGGAGTCTATACTAAAAGATATAAGAATTGCATTAACTAGTTTGAACTGAACAAAACTTAACTCATGAGATCCTTGATCCAAAAATTACTTGGAAAAAATTTTGAAACTTAATAGCTGTTTTTTAAGACAATAGAGATCAAAAGTAGAAAAAGGATGAATTGTTTTCAGGGGAATTTATTCTGGAAATGGAAACCCTGTTGCTAACAATATACGCTTTTGGTTGGCGCAGATGCTTTTCTTATTAATTTTGAATTGCTTTTATTCCAAAATTTTAAAAAATACACTTTTCGTTAGTGCATAGATGCTTCATAAACTTGAGTTGTATCAAGTACACAGAGAATCTAACTAACTCCCCTTAGACGAGTTGGCATGTGAAATATAAGATGCAAGTTTAGCTACAAATCACGAGTTTAAATTTTTGCACTTGAAATAAAATCAGGTAAAATCCAAAAGGTATGTAATAGTACACCCTTTGATATAAAGATGGGATCTTTTTCCTCTAATCTTCTTTGACCCAGTTGAGCTCTACTCTAATATAAGTTAGAGTAAGAATGGAGTAAAAGTTGACGATTGATTCCCAAAAAAAAAGTACAGAGAGAATTTTGATATATTTTAAAGATACATATAGTAAGTGTACAAAAAACAACTTAAAGATATACATCTTTAAGAACAAAAAATTGCACGTGATTTCTTACACAAAATCAGATGTGTAGTGAAATCATAGACCTTGCTTAAATTATCAAACGCATGACCTTTTTTTTTGTGTTGAGATCCCCTGATGTCACTTCTGTTTTCTTATCTTAGGATCGCTCGATCCGCTGTGGAGCCTGTTCCCTCCTCACCATAGTACATCTTCGAACTTATGGAGTGGCGCCTGACAACCCCTTCTCAGCTTTGACAGGTTCGGTTAAAAACGCGAAATTGGACCGAAAAAAAAGGGCAGAGAGGGAGGGAGAGCACTTGGGATCCTCGGTGACATATTTTGAGTGCCAATCCAATGCCACCTCCAATATTGTGCCAAGTGTCCTGTTATTATTTACATTTTAATTTTTTAATAATTCAAATTGATTTGATTTAATACAAATTTTCTCTACCCTCTAAAACTTTGAACCAAAATTAACCGGCGGTCTAATTAAAATACCATCACTTTTGAGTTAACTACTCACGATCTGATCTGGACAAAAAGAAAAAGAAAACCTAAGCAATTGAGCCACCAAAGTCTTTCATCGGTGATTGCTTTGAACAAAGCCAAAAAGAGACAAAGTCCTGGAAGCTTGTGGCACCGTTGCCCAATAAGCTAAAAGTTGGGAAAAGACCTTGCATCACCACTCTAAAGTTTTGCCTGCGTTTTAATGCCAAGAGGTGACTTTTCTTCCCCTTTCTTGGATAACGAGATTCTCCTCCATATTGCTATCAAGGACGATTGCTGGAGCGAACATCAGCAAGGGAATTAAAAAGAAATTTTATTACTATCTTCAATTCTTCCCCTTTCTGGGCAGAGGCTGCGGGGACCAGCGGACGGAGGTGACGAAAGGGGAGAGGGAAGGAGTAGCAGAGGTAGCAGCAGTAGATGGAGGAGGGAGAGGAATTGTGGCAACTAACTGCATAGAATGGGTATCGACAATGGATACAGAGCTGCCGGCGGCGTAAGCAAGGAGACCGGCGGGAGATAGGTCGGCGGCACCGCCATTGTTGCGAGAAGGTGGACCGGGAAGCATGCTATCCCAAGATTCATTTAAGGGTCGCGGAATTGATGCCATGATCCTCGTTGAATCAGATGATGTGATACTAAATTTTGAATGGAATGAATTGGAAGGATGGGGAGTAGTATTGAGAAATCTTGAGGTTCATCGTCCTGATGGGCAGAGAAAACTTGGTAAATGAATTAGACCGGTGGTTAATTTTGGTTAAAAGGTTTAGAGGGTAGAGAAAATTTGTATTAAATCAAATCAATTTGAATTATTAAAAAGTTAAAATATAAATAATAACAGGACACTTGGCGCAATATTAGAGGTGGCATTGGATTGGCACTCAAAATATGTCACCGAGGATCCCAAGTGGAGGGAGAGAGGGAGAGAGAGAGAGAGTACATATAGTCAGGCGAAGGAACTAGAAAAAAGTTATGAGAGGTGAAATTCATGTACAGATAAACTCTATAATCAATATAAAATCTTGCGAATATTGTTGTGAGACTAAAAAGTTTGACTTATACAGGAAATGTTGAAAATTTTAAAGAATATCATGAATTTCAAGGACTTGGAGGGCGGTGCATGCCCCCTGGTTAACCTTTGCGTATAGTTGAAAATAATTAACTTAATAAATCATGAGATGATTAGGGGATTAAAAAGATTACTTTAGTAGGGTCGCAGCCCACTTTCCAAATAAACAGTACTTCTGTTCTTATTTCTTTATTACAAAGCTTTATAAATTATTTTGTGATTAGCTAAATATAGGCATTTAAAACTTGCATACCGCGCGATTGCACTGGAAACCATTGTAACCCAAACACCGAATTTGCACTACATATAGGGTCCGTTTGTTTCGGGTGAAAATGTTTTCCAGGAAAATATTTTCTTAATTTCCCGTGTTTGGTTGCGCAAAAGTTACTGAAAATATTTTTCTATGTAAAATATTTTCACTCATCTTATGGAAAACAACTTCCCTTCCAAACTTACTGAAGTTGTTTTCCGAAATGCATGCATCCTGCCTGTAGCATGTTCCAAACTTACTGAAAACATCTTGTAGTATGTTCTTTTTTTTTTTTTAATGTAAATAGGAGGATTCGAACCTAAGATCTCTTCCTTACACTCCCTCCCCCCTACCACCCAACCCAACCCAACCCTCCCCCTAGTATATTCAAAATAAAAAAAAACCTCATCCTGCTCATCCTATGCTAGTAATTAATTATGTATAATAGGGACATTCTTTTTCTAGAGAAACTTTTAGCAATGAGAGTACAAGATATATGTCATAATAAGCATTGCATGTGATTGATATTTGACACTAAATGGCCATCAATTTGTTTATTGCTTAAGGAGATATTTTTTTATTCATATATACATTTCTCCAAGATTTTTTAAAGTTAAACAATGAGATAAATTTTCTTATTTTGCATGGGAAGAAGTATGTAGTTATAATGTGCAGAAAGTTAAGATAGAGATAAAAGTGAATATATTTCAAAAGTTAAACAAACACCAGAAAAATGAAGTAAAAAAATATTTTCAATAAGCTAACCAAACACCTGAAAATGATGAAAGGGAAATGATTTTCATGGAAAATTACTTCCACGGAAAATATTTTCCTAAGGAAAACATTTTACTTCCAACCAAACAGACCCATAGTTCGAAACGTAGGATTGCCAGCAACATGAATCCATCGATGATTGATCACTGATAATATTAGACTAGGAGGCATAAAACGCGCTGCGCGCGTTGGGATAAACAGAAAATATGCCCACTTAGACATATGGATTCATGGAACAAAAATGTTTGTCAGTTAATAATTTGTGTACACAGCTAAATATAAATATACATGAATAAGTAGGAGGCAAAATTGTTTCACGAAAATAGGAATCCAAATCAGCTATCTTATCTTGAGCTTCAAATCCATAAGCTTCATTTCAAAATTTACTCTATGGTCAACCATAGAGTTAACCCACATAGAGTCTATTTGACCTGAATCCTGATACATGATCCATATCAAAATTTACACCAAATTTCCCTTTATTCATATAGCAGTTGTATCCATGAAATCCTCCTTGCAACCGGGAGAAGAACAAAGAGGCCCGTTTCTTTGACGTTGACATGAAAATGAAGTCATCAATAAACCTTAAAAGCGGATATTTGCAGTGGTACATGACAGCTTTGTTCTCATGGTGGATTGCTGCAGACGAAGCATCACGTGTATCTTGGTTGCCAAATGAATGTGTGGGAAGCTCCACAAACTTTCTCCAGATTTGTATCCAAAAACTTGTTCCTACTTTTTAACATCTCTATGACAAATCCAAAAGAAATCAAACAAAACTCCAGAAAAGATAAAACATCAAAAAGCAGCAAACAATCACAGCCAGATATTTAGCATAAGGGAAAGAACAAAGCATACAAGGAAAAAAGATGAAAAAATTAGCATTAAGACCATTGCATAGCAGCATTAGTAAAGCAAGGATCCAAGAAACACATAAAGGGGGGAAAGGCAATTCTCTAAGATTCCAACTCCGTAAAAAAATTACCTACCATCGAACAAGCGAAAAATTTAGGTAAAGCAAACCAGCAAACAACTGCAACCTTGAATTTTGGGCCATGGTACAATTTAAGAATTCAAGAGGGCTAACAAGAGTCAGTCAAGCCAATTTAGCCAACATACCGCTTTAGAACGTTGATGGCTTCTATTGTACCCAACATGCCAACTACCCCATCATATTTCCCAGAATATGGTATTGCATCAGTGCGAGAACCTGTTGAAACTGAAACTGGAGCAAGCTCAGTTTTGGAACCAGTCCTACAAAAAACCAAATGACGATTTGGGTTAAGTACATGTATAACAAGCAGAAGAGAATGAACAATGGATTATTACAAAAGAATTTTTCAATCAGATTAAATTTTTCCTACATTAACAACCAACGTCATTCTGCGAAATTGAGAATAATTCTTAAACCACCAGTTCACCCTATAAATATGAAGTTTGGAGTTGATGATACTTAAAGTTCAAAATTTGGAACTTAACATCAACAATGTAATTTCAATTATACAACTTTTGAAGGGATTTCATCTTTTATTGCTTGAAATATTCTCAGTGCCAATTATTCTTTCTTATGGACCATAATTCACCAAATATCACTCAAATAATCTTTTTAAATAGTTCAAAAGTAGTCAATCACTTTTCGAATTTTCAGTACCTTCTCTTTAAAAAAAAATTGCACAAAGAAAACAAATGGAAACAAATATTTCTTTCAACGTTAAAAATGGCAAAACTATGCATCAATTCCAGAGAATTAGACCTCTTAAATATCCTCAAGGCCATTTATAACCTGGCAATAGATAGAGAATGTAAAGCCAAATTGCTATGCACCATGAACCAATTTTTTTTTTTTGAATCGGTGAACCAAATTTTTAAGGCAGTCGGCTGCATATATTACCTTATTAGCAATTACAACTTTGTCTGGAATTTCTAATTTGGCTCCAGGTTTTGCAGTTATTGTCACTTTCCCCTTAAAACAAGGGGAAAAAAAAGAAAAGAAGAAATTAATGCATATGCCATATGGACACTAAATAAGAAATAACAAACCACTGTACAACCACAAATTGCCACATCACAAGAAAATCTTCAAGGAACAGATACATCCATAAAGCTTCAGAAACAGGGTAACAGGGAAACAGAGTAATAGGGAGACAAGTAGTTAGTTTGTATTACCTTCAGGGTGATACCAGATCCAAACCACCATCACCACTCATCTTTAGGCTGTCTAGTTCAACAATACTGGGAATAGACTTGATACGACTTAAGAAGTTGCCTACCTAAAAAAGTGAAAAAACAATTAGCTATATAAACAATTCAACCTGTGGAGAAAGATAGGGGGCTAAAATCTCAACCTTCTTAAATTCAGGTCCCAATTCATAGTTGGGTTAGTTGGATTTTTCCTAGCCTCGTTGCAGACCACATAGCCGTCATCAGACAAAGTGTACAGGTCGGACTGTAAAGGTTAAATGCATGAATAAATACCAATTCATATAGTATTCAAAACAGAATTCAATAGCATGATCAAAGAACTGATTGGGGGTGGGGGCTGAAAGTAAATGATTTTACTTCTTACCTTTGGTTGTTGGTAGAGAGGAGACTGAATGTGAAATGCCATATTGATAAACCTAAATGGAAAGAAATGGAAAATAAAGATGTTTAAATGAATATCAAGAGATAAGGTTAATGTACCCTTATTGTAGCGCCAGTAGCAATTTCAAGTTGAAGAACTTTCACCCCATCTACTTCCTATTAATCAGACAAAATTAAATAGAAGAACAAATACATTGGCAGAATGCAGAACAGATAGTTAAGAAATAGAACCTTTGGATTTGGAATAATCTCCATCTTCAGTGCACTTTCTTGTACAAGTCTTTTGATTGCTTTCAAGTTCACCCATCTGTATGATAGCAGAAATATATCATTCCATTGCATTTTCCATGAAGGAAGCATTGCCCACAGTGCTTGAAGCAAATAATATTTTAGCTTCAAATGAGAAGCATAACACTTACAAGTTGTTGGGATTGAAAATTTTGAACTTCTCTATCAACTTGAATTCATTCACCTGTAAAGAAAGAGGAGCAGCATAATCCTTTAATATCAAAATGATGCCTATGAAATTGTGTAACCCAAGAAAAAGATGTTACATCAAGAATGGGCTAATTCTGGATACCCTTGTTTAGTTGCCTAAATAGGTCGATGGATCTAACTCCACATTAAGTAAACAACCATACTGATTAACCTAACTGGTTATATGTAACGTGCTTATACCCCTACATACATCAATCCTGGGACCTCCTTATGTAGAAATAGTTATTTAAAGAAACAATGTTTAAATCGCACAAGATTGCATGCAGTATGCCAACAGTTAAAAGCATTTCGCTAAAAGGTAAAGAAACCAGAAGAAATTGAATCTCACATGTTCATCAGGAACTTGAGCTATTTCTAGAAGCTGCAACAGAAGATAGAAAATGAATTAATAGCAACTATTAAGCATGAAAATAGAAAACATTCCAGTGCATCATTGAATATATCCATCTATCTCATGGCATGGTTTAAACCATTTAGCAAAATACAAGTAAGAAAAATACCATGTAAACAATATAGCATGTTTATCAATCTTGTCAAAATTTTACAAATATACCAAGTTTGAGTAGCTATTCCAATTTTCTCATAAGTACAATTTTAAATGTTCAAGTATGTATTAACCTACAAAAGAATGAATATGGCAGGTAATTGTCCCTTTTATCTTTTGTAGAGTATACCTGCCGGTTTTAGTTTGGAGTGGCCAAGAACTTTCATCAAATCCCCGAGAAAGCACTTTCTGCAGCTGAACCCTAATAGATCAACAATAATAGGAAAACAATAATAAATCATCTAAAAGTATAGAATACAGGGAAAACAAAATGCAGAAAGTTAAAGAAGACATTATTCTAAATGCAATGGCTGGTTCGATATTGAAAAAGAAGTAAATTTGCATCACTAATCAGAGGCAGAAGCCATACTAACACAAATAATAGTCATCTTTAGATGGATTTTATCGGACAAAAAACCAACAGAAAATTTCAGGGCAGAAAAATCAAAACAAACAACGATGAAACAAGCAAAAAGAACAGCTGATAATTACAAAAAGTAGCAACACCACAATAGTTCAAACATGGAAGGAAAAAAAATGGAGAGAAATGACAAAATAATGAAGGCAGTACCTTAAAGGACTTAAGATTCTTCAATGCTAGCAGCTATCACCACTATTAAAAACACCAAACCATCCATTCACCATACTATGCCACTTATATGCCCCCAACCCCACCTTTCCCCTTTTCCTGAAACGAATATTGACCCCATACCTAGAATAAGCAAGTTTGAGCCTAAGCTCTATCCTTGAGGCTTCATTAGTTCTGCATTTTATTTTTCCTTATAAATGGCATTATTGTAAAGAAAGAGCAATCAACATAAAAGTTAGTTTAAGTAGAAAAAACCCAATTAACTTACTAAACAAAACTTACACAGTCATCATGCCTTCCTTAAGAAAATTTATGCAGTTTGTAAATTTCAGTAAACATGTAAATTTAACTTAAAAATGCATGCAATAACTAAACCGCAAACAATTGACAAGATAATGAACAAGAATGCCTGAAATGATACCATGAAGATGATCTTCCAATGATCCCAAGGGCATGAACTAATAGACAAGTAGCCTCTGGTCCCTATTAGCACAGTAACCAATTAAATTTACAAGGTTAGAATGATATAAAAGACTGAACATAAGAACATCAACCAAAAATTCCCGGTTACCTTAAAGTCTATTTCTATCCAATTGCTTAACTGCAACAACCTGTCCATTCCAGTAATCCAATCAATTAGCAATAATAAACTTGAAAAGCAGCCAGAAAATTTTCGGTAGAGGCATTTCTAATAAAATCAATATTGTTATTCTAAAAAAATTTCAGGAAAATTCAGAAAAAAATCCTATGAAATGAAAAAATTAGAGAAAATCGCACATACCTCACTCTACTACTTTAGCTTGAAGATCTGGGATTGAAGATTTTCTTTCAGATCATCTCTAAGAGGGCCACCACAGATCTACACTCTAGCTGCATTCCAGAAAAAATAAGACAAAACATCGACGCAACCAAATAGAAGAGAGAAAAATAATCACTAATTAACGGAAAGTAACGGAAGAACCGAGGTAGTACCTGAAACAATAGAGAGGAAGCAGCAGTCAATGCTTCACTTTCGGTTCTATATTTGACCGAAAAATAAAAGTCAACAAATCAAAAGTAATCCCAGCCAAGACAAGGTCGGCAGTCTCTCAGCCAAGGAACGAAAATAAAAGACGATTGTGGAAAAGGTTAGGTATCGTTTACAGGGTTTGAAGCTTCAAATGTTAAATGAAAACACGGAACAAATAGGCAGTTGGCACGGGTAGTGGAGGCCTATGCTTTGTTCCTTCATCTAGCTGTAAGCTTGGGCCGGATGGACGGGTGGAGTGCTGTGGATAGAAAAGAAAAGCCTAGGGACCAGCAGAAAGTGGCAACTGGTAGCTTTTAAATTCTGTGACGTCCGGAGCTGGGAGACATGACAAATTGGTCGTAGTAGCCGGTGTGGCGAGTTGAGTGGGGAATTGGGGACGGCAGGCAGGCGCAATAAACATGAGAATAATAAAGTTGGAAGGAAAGGAGAAGGAGAGATAATAAAGATTTTGAGAGCAAGAGGAAGAGGGAAAGATCTGATCAAGGACTGTTGGGATGGGTTTAGCTTCTAAGGATAAAGGTGAGGCGAAGGAGAGAAGGGGAGAAGAGAGAGAGCGGCGGCGGCGGAGGAAATTTAAGAAAACCTAGAGAGGAAGTATTTGGCGCATCGCGCGGAAAAAAAAAGGCTGGTGACTCACATATGCGGCACGTGAGAGGACGACGAAAACCATTCCAGGTCATCAGAGGCCTTCGGCTCTTTATCTACTTATGTTGATATCTACTTATGTTGATAAGGGATGGCGACGACCAAGTTGAATTGTGGTGTTGTTTCTTTCGTCAATCATTACGAGTCATGACGTGTTTAAAATTTTCTAAAGTTTGATTTCTAAAAGAAATGTTGAAAATTTTCAAGCTTTTAAGCTTCATTTGGGAGTTGGGATTTTGGACAGAAAAGAAAGGAAAAAAAGCGAAAGTCAGTTTCCTCTATTTGTTAGTTTTTAGTAAGAAAAAAAAGAGAGAAAATGAGAGGATTCGAGCGGATGAAGTGTGGCTCCATAGTGGTCAGAACTTTACTGCCCAAATGGACGGAAATGGAAGGAAATTTTGAGGATGCTTGTTAAATTATTTTTCAAAATGCCTATTTTGTTTTTAAAAAACACTTGTATGAGTATTTAATGACTTATGTATCCAAAATTATTTCACTTATTTTCGAGATTCCCAAATAACATAATAATTTCTTCTCTTCTCTTTCTTTTTCTTTTCTTCTCTTCTTTCATAAATAAAAGCTTTTTCCTTCTTTTCTTTTCTGACCTCAACTCCCAAACAAAGCCTTAAGGGGGAAATCATGCACCCCAAGTTGCATCCTTGCGTATAATAGAAAATAGTTATCTTATAAGAGAATAAATCACAAGAAGATAACTGGATTAAAAAGATTACGTTAATAGGATCCGACGTCCTTTTCCAAATTTACGGTACTTTGCTTTTTTTATTTTTATTATAAAATTGTACAAATAAATTCTCATTTTTATGATTAGCAAAATCTATTAAAAAACTTACATATTGTACGGTTGCAGATAAGTGGTAACACAAACATTAAATTTGTACGGATCATAGGTCTCACAAGTTTGAAGACAAAATGGATCCTTTTAAATTTTTATACTATAATATTATTAATTTACATTCTATTTAATTTTTGTTTATACCATATTTCTATCCATCTGCACTTTAAGGACAAACTAGTTTGAATTGAAATTTGCGAGGTCTGATCCGAATTTGTACTCCATGTGATGCTTGGACGATTCGGTGAAATTAGATAAGGCATGACGAAGACCAAGTGGCCTTGGGCCTCTAGGCTTGTCGTTTCTTTCATCAATCATTACCAGCCAAGACCTGCGCCCCAAGGAGTCAATTGCTCTGACTGTAGAAATCTCATTTAGATTTCATTAAACGTAACGGACTAACAACGGCGGTCAACAGTCTTTGAAGTGCGCGAGCGGTAGCTTGCACCAGACACAGATTCCATGGCTAGTCAAAACTCAAAAGGGATGGTCCACCCACTAATTCTATTTCTTTTTTCCACTACTTATACACTGCATTGATCATCATCATGAATGATGAATGACAGACAACTTGCCCTCGGATTCAATTAACTTATTATAGGTAAATGGTATGAGAATTTATCTTTGTGCTTCCCACTCCATTTCTCCTTACTTTAAAATAAATAATAATAACAACTGACTAATTGATTGACAGCAAACAAAGCGTGTGTATGGTGGTGGAATAAATTAAGGAAATTGGAGTTTTGGCTAAAGATGTTTAACATTACAATTTTTTGTTAGAGATTATTTGATAAGCATTTTGTATTATTGACTGAAATTATTTTTATGATTTCGTACTTTAGAAACATGATTAAAAAACATGCTTATGAAATACTCCCTCCCTTTTTTTATAACTGACGTTTAAGAAATTTGCTCTTAAATACTTTTATCTGTCGTTTTACTATTCCCATGCAGCATTAATTATTTTTTCTCAATTTTACCCTTTTATCTCTCTTTTCCAATACAGGGTTCTTAATTACTACTCCTAGTTAGTTTGCATTGCTTTTGGCCTAGTAAAACAGCACCATTTAATACTTTAGTGAGAGAAAACATGGGTGAATTGGATAATTAATGAGGGTACAAAAGGAAAGTAGTGTATAGATTTAAACAATGAAAAATTTTTCTTAATTGGTGTGCAAAACCTTAAACGTCAGTTATAAAAAAAGGGAGGGAGTAATACAAACAAATTTCTTGATACTTTGCTTTCCGAATGCAAAATTATGAAAGTATTCATGGCACGGCATCACAAGTCAACAGTTCCTCGAAAAACTATCACTGTATCACATTCAATGTCTTTTGAGGGTGTCTATGAAAAAATAAGTTAGCACATTATTGAAAAGAGTGTATAATGTGAAGTAATAAGATAATAGAATAACGAGCTAAAAAGGTCTTTTGCAAAAACATTTTTAAAAATATCAAATTAGACATTCTGTAAAAGAATTTATATATCGAGATGTAAGAATTATAAATATTAATATGAGGAAGAAAGACGCTTGAGCAAATTGGGTTGAATCCATTTCCGACTCTTTAAGTGGACTGTTATTTTCCGAGCAGATCGGATAATGGCAATTCGTAATAAAATTTTCTTTTTTCTTCTTTCGATAAAAAAAGAAACATCATTTTATTACAAAGATTGTTAGATATTGTTCAACACGAATTATTTGACAAAATCAGATTTAGACTTCTATAAAGATTCCAATTGGTTGCTGAATATGAGAAACATGCCAACTCATGAGCAATTATGTTAACATCCCTGGAACCTGCAAAATAACTCCACGACTCAGGTGCAACAAAGTAGAACTAATTTAGTTTGTAAGCTCACGTTTAGCAATCCAAGAGAATTTTTATTTTATTTTATTTTTTTACCCTTCTCACCCTCAAACAAGATTGATCTGACAGCAGGAAAGATCCTAACAACCTTTCCCTAACTACTGGACCGATCCAGAGTTTCCTCCTTGAAAATTGTTTGAATTCTACCCTAGGTATTTAAAACTATCAAATATTTATAAAAAAATCTTTTGAGAAAATCTTTTTTATAAAAAACAAACTTTTTTTTTTTTTTTGATAATAAAGCATATTTCATTAAAGGATTACTGGAAATCGTCCAGCACAATTGATATACATTGCTGCCCTGATGGCAGATAAACATGCACTAAAATTATAGATCTGTAATTTAACAAATACATAAGATTTGAGAAATTAAGGACAGATCTAAATAGTACCATAAATTTGAAAAACATTTCATCATAGAATAAGTCGCTGCAGCTCTCTTTGTGCATGCTGTAATCGTCAGATCTGCTAATCAACAGTTGTAAGATCCAATAAAAATGATGAGATCTGTCGAAATAGATCCAAATCTGAAATATTCCCTCAGATCTGCTATCCAACTGGTTCAAGCTCAAAACTGAAAGTGAGATCTGATGAGAAGACTGAAGAAATTTTAGATCTAACATATAGATCTAAAAAAACTCCAAGATCTGAGAAAATAAAGAACAGAAAACTAAAAAAACTCTCACTAAAATAGTTTAGGAGAGACGAAAACTCTCAATAGGATACCCTAGGAGAGAAGAAAACTCTCACTAGGATACCCTAGGAGAGACTTTATTGAATGGAAGGAAGAACAAAGGACAAAGGAAGAGGAAGGGAGACCTTGGCTCAAGGCCAAGATCTCCCCTCTATGGAGGAGGAAGAGTAGAGGAGGAAACCTAGGCTCAGGGTTCTCAAACTAATACAACTTTATTAATTACATTGTTGCAAATCATCTAGTACAATTGGATTTGCATCACAGAAATTTATACTAATGATAGATTAAATATGTACTAGACATAATAAATTTGTAATTTAGAAGATATAATAGATTTAAAAATTATGAACATATCTCAAAGAATCTACTTAATCTAGTATAATCATTTTAAAATCAAACAAAACATGGAATTATATTTATTTCTATCCATATATCATTCATTTTCTAATATAAATTTTTATTATTATTTCAAGATCCATCTTTTGTAAAAACGCAGTTCTTGAATGATCTACACATTTTGTCATACTTTGAACTATTGTTGTACAAATCTAAAATCTTAATTATGTTGGTACAATTTTTTTAAATTTTTTTCAAATTTACCTTCTCTTTTAATTTCTTTCAATAACGTAAGCACCATGTATAGCATCGGTATTCACACTAGTTCTAATTGTATTTGTGACTGGACCAATTTCTGGGCAACCTTATGCTCCTTAGACTGACAAGCACGTTAAAAGAATAA